AAACTCAATCAGGATACTGTCAATTAGACAGAACCACAATCATTTGAGGTTATCATTTTCTGATAAACTGGTGTTATCTCTGTGCAGATGATCAACAATGTAGTCTATGAAACCAGAGTTTTCACGACATTTTATTTCTGCAGGCTGATGGTCTTGCTCTGTTACACTGTTATCATCGCCTGTAGTATTTTGCAAAATCAGCTTGACTTCATCCAGCAAAGTGGTAAATGTTTCATGGGTTCTCAACAAAGCAATGGATGCTCGCGAAGATGATATCAGCATCAAGGCCTGCATCAGATTGATACTGACTGATTGTAGATGAATGTTGACAAGTGATAGTATACTCAATGCGTGTTTTGACCAGGCCAAGAAAGTAACGTGCCGATTTTTTCGATCAGATGTCTGTCTGTCGTCCTGTAACAAATCTGCCTATTCAACCAATTACGGCGCAGTCACGTTATGACGTCATTACTTGCCGGGTGCGGTTGAAGGTTTTAGGCTATAAAGCGTTTTAAAATGTTTTTGGGGCCTATAGAGGAAGATAAAGCGCAAACAACGTATGTTGCAGTACGTAAGGGTGGTGTCGAAGCTGAAGACGGGAAAAATTATTCAGTGTGCTGACGGATCACGTGTGCTTGCTCATTTGAACATAAGTAGGCCTAAAAACTTCTAAATGCAAAAAAAAAAAACATATATATATATAATTCCCCGGGCAACGCCGGGTACCTCAGCTAGTAAGTAATAAGACCGATTCCTAAACTACTATATAGAATTTATTAAAGTGCCTGCTAACAATTAAATTAACATTTCCTCACCTCTGAAGAACAAAATGGATGCCGTAGAATCTTTCCGTCAATAATAATGCCTCAAACACTGTAAATCTAGGAATGCATAACCAAGAATGAGAGAGAGGTTTCAGTTATGTGTCTTCTTATCTTCACAGTTTGATGAGAGCATACAGTTCCCTTCTTGCACAATAATTCACTTCCAACACGAATAATTTAGTGTATTCAACTATGCTCTTGTTTTGTGTAAGAAGCAACACGTTGTCTAACATTCAGTTATAATTCTTATTTTATTAATAAACGAACGATCAACGTTGCATCGATCAATAACAATTTATTTGAAATCTGATGAATCTGAACAATCCACGTCAGCGGTATGCAGCCATCGATGCAATAAAAAACACAAAAGCCGAAAGCATAAGTACAAATATGTTTTATTTCATAAATATTGATTTACAGCAACTGTTACTTCGGTTACCTAATATTTTTATACATGAGTACATTGGAATTATTCAAGTTCGAAAACATTATTCAAGTTCGAAAAAAGTAAAATGATGCATTATTTTATTTTTAAGGCAGACGTTTAGAGGGCGCATTGCGCCCTTTCGGGCCACCGTGGCTACGGCACTGTGGCCAACTTACACTAACTGCATGCACGCAGTTGAATGTTATGTTAACTCTCACTAATCTAATTAGGTCGAGCTCTTATTAGTACAATTGGGCCTATGGTGAGTACAATGTCATATCAGCACTCATCAGTACAATTAGGCCAATGGTGAGTACAATGTCATATTGGCTCTTATTAGTACAATTAGGCCTATAGTGAGTACAATGTCATATCAGCTCTCATCAGTACAATTAGGCCAATGGTGAGTACAATGTCATATTAGCCCTTATTAGTACAATTAGGCCTATAGTGAGTACAATGTCATATCAGCTCTCATCAGTACAATTAGGCCAATGGGGAGTACAATGTCTAATCAGCTCTTATTAGTACAATTAGGCCTATGGAGAGTACAATGTCATATCAGCTCTCATTAGTCCAATTAGGCCTATGGTGAGTTCAATGTTATATCAGCTCTCTTTAGTACAATTAGGCCTATGGTGAGTATAATATTATATTAGCTCTCATTAGTACAATTAGGCCTGTGGTAAATTGAATAAATTTACATACCAATCATACACCGTGGATGTTTTAGTGTTAAATAAAGTTATATAACATATGGATTATATTATTACCGTATGAACTGACAATATCAAGACACAAACTATTGTTGCGTCAACGAGATCACGTGACTATTCTCACGCCCTCTGCTTTCTAGAACTATCCTGTACCTTGGCGAATGCTCTAGCATTTACTAGATATAGAGTAGTCTGGTATATAAAAGAGGGTGACAACGTGACAGAAGAATGTAATGTGTGTGTAGACAGTGAGTAATTGATCTGCAGTCAGAGAGTATTATTGAGCACGTTCGTTGTTATAGCGTTGTTTTAGCGCGATTGTTGAAATTAAGTGTATCGTAAAGTTATATTCAGAAAGAATAAACCAGTTTTATTAAGTAAGAACTTGTGTCGCTAAAGTTTCGTCGGAACGAAGTTACGGAAAGTTAATTAACAAACGGAGACGTAACACTATATTACCGGGAGTCTAAGCTGGAATTTTTGTGTTAAATAAAATTATATAACGTATAGATTAGATTATTACATATAAGTTGGAATTTCACTGACGTGTAGTAAGTCGGATGGGATGAAGTGACCAACCACAAAACATACACCAAAGTTTCACTTCAAATTTTGTTTGCATTCCATATTGTAAAGTAATAGACAACTATGTGACATTTTGTATTAAAAACTATTAGAATGGCTTGATATATACAATATGCTCTTAAAAACCAACAGGTAAGTTCATTAAGATTACAATAATGAGAAAATCTATCTTTGCTGAGCGAATTGAGGAACTTAAAATTCTGTACACGACATTTTAATTAAATCAAAGACAGGAATACTCTACATTATGTTGGCAACTCTTTTGTCACTAGCAAGTTCCTGGAAGGTTATTTGTATAAGGCAAAACTTGCAAAAGAACTAACTTTGTTTAGGTTATAATCAATCTTAATATCCGTCAGAACTTCCCAGAATATTCTGTCATCCGACAAATCCCATTTACAGAAAGAGAAACCAGGGTTTCCGGCATCTCTGTCTCCACACCCTATAAACATGCCAGATAGTCACTACGAACTAATATAAATTTTATCAGTTATGCAAGACACTTATAGAAATGAAAGTAACTGGCCTTGTTCAAGCTTGGCCAAATCCTATTTATTCAGACCCTAAGTAACGATATATTCACATAATCAATTATGAAAAAATTTAAGTATGAAGCCTACGTACCGAAGTATTAGTTATATGGTGAGAAGGAAGCTGCAATTTTTCCCTTAACTTTGTTTAAAAACTTAATCTCAGTTTTAAACCAGATGTAATATTTAAACCAAACTTATCATAACGTTTCAAAACTTGACCCAACTTATATATAGTTTTATTGGTTTCTACTATAGTGTATATTCGTATATACCAAACTTTTAAATAAATTTAGTTTCGTGGCTTCTGTACCTAGCAATACCTAACTTGAATAATGAGATATTCTAAGGCTTAACAATATATATTATTCAGAGTGGTCATGCTGAAAGTATTGTTAACAGCGAGAATACCGAACTGATTCAAAATGGATATTAACCTTCACAAATAGAAAGATAAGAAAAATATATTAGCTATATTGATGGCAGGTTGGTTGTTAGTTTCACTCTAACAGTAACAGTCCAAGTACACAACTTGCTCTGATCGGAAGGTATTATTATGTATTAACTTGATGGTGAAAACCTTGCCTCAGTTACTGTAGAACTGTATGTTAATTGCTGGTGAATGTAAGTGCCTCTAGCCACATACTCTTGCACTTCATATTCAAATCAACTAAAACAAATGCTGTATACAGTGTAAATACAAGTACCTCCAGTATTTCAGGCTTAACTAATCAACTGAGAAAAAGAATTCTGCCATGAACCGCAGTACGCACTATCGATCCCTCGTCTTCTGCAGAAAAAGTGGCATACAATATACGCTGTACAGGGCACCCGCAACGATGAGATGACACTTTCTATAGGCAAAAGGGAGTGTCTAGAAAACGTGAGCATTGTCTGTCGGGTTCTTGTGTACTAGCATTCTTTAGGGACTAACTCTCCCCTAACACCCAGTACCCAAACTCTGAAGGTATTTAGACAAGAAAGCGTGAGCTGTTAGAAGTTTTAGTTCGTAACACACCTGCCATGTATTATGTTGCGTTAATGTGGTGCTCGATCCTCATCAGTGGTGTAGTATCGTAATATTGGCGGGGTAACTTTCTTGTCACTGCAGTAAATAGAAGATTTAGAAAATAAAATACATTCAATTTCACTGTTTGCTCTGTGTTACCAGGCTACATTCCTCGTGGATAGGGTACGACACCTGGTGGTTTACATCCGTAAAAGCGTGGGACCCATCGTTCTGTAGAACTGAATAAACACGTGTACGGTTGACGTCATGTCGAATGCTGTAACACCAGTTAAAAAGGTTCCAATCCATCTTCAGGTAAGTTGTTCTTAACCTTCAACAAACGTCCACTCGACAATGTGCGGCTTCTCAGCTTTGAATTAATTTTTAAATATACGTATATCTGCTCCTGAGAATAAACGTTTTATATATTTCTGTTCCTAAGAATAAATGCTTTCTACATATACTTGTTCCTAAGAATAAATGTTTCCTATGTATACTTGTTCCTAAAAATAAATGTTTTCTACATATAATTGTTCCTAAGAATAAATGTTTTCTATATATACTTGTTCCTAAAAATAAATGTTTTCTATACATACTTGTTCCTAAACATAAATGTTTTCTTTGCATACTTGTTCCTAAAAATAAATGTTTTCTATATATACTTGTTCCTAAACATAAATGTTTTCTTTGCATACTTGTTCCTAAAAATAAATGTTTTCTATATATAATTGTTCCTAAGAATAAATGTTTTCTACATATAATTGTTCCTAAAAATAAATGTTTTCTATATATACTTGTTCCTAAAAATAAATGTTTTCTATATATACTTGTTCCTAAAAATAAATGTTTTCTATATATACTTGTTCCTAAAAATAAATGTTTTCTTCA